AAAATACAATTGTCAGTCAGTTATACTGGGTGATTTTAATGGGGGAACAGGTAATCAACAAGGTGGTATTGACTTAGATACTACTTACTTGTCAATTGGAAACATTGAAAGTAATGGAGATATAATAACTCGTGTGTCAATGGACAACAACGTGAATCTGTATGGATTAGAATTACTTGATTTTTGTTCCACAAGCGGGCTTTATATTGTAAATGGGAGTCTATATAAGAATAGAGGAAGTGGAAATTTTACATTCATTTCTGAGACTGGTTTAAGTGTAAATGACTATGTTCTTGCAAGTACAGAGTTTTTGGGAAAGATTACTGATTTTACAGTGGGATCACGTATTGAATCAGACCATATGCGAATAGAGTTTATAGTAGCTTTTCAGAATGGGGTTGTTAATGACAACAAAGAAGTGCATCTTGCTACTCATCAACACAATATACCCGGTAAACTTAGATGGGATCAGAGCAAAAAACAGATGTATCATGATAATTTCTATTCCACCAATCAATTACGCTACTGTTTCCATAAACTATTGAGCAGGGTGATGTGGCTAGCGCCACAGTTTCCTTAAATGACATAATGTACTCCTGTTGTAGTCACATGAAATTTGATGTAAACAATAGCACGAAAAGGAAAAGTGATAACCCATGGTTAGACAGAGAATCTGGTAAAATGAAAAACGAAGTCTACCAGGTCCTTAATCATTTTAGAAACTGTAGAACACGGCCAAAATTGGAACTCTATCTAGAACTGAAAAAAAAAGATACAAAAGCTTGATTAACAAGAAATAGTTAGCTTATCAAAGCAAGATGCGTGACAATTTGGTAAACCTTGCTACACAACCTAACGCTAGGCAATTTTGGCGAAACTTTAGTGATAAAACAGAGAGTATATCAAATAATATTACACAAGATGAGTGGTTTGATTATTTTAGCAAGTTATTTAATCCATAAATTACAACAGATGGAAGAATGGCAGACTTCCATTCATTGGTCCAAGAATATGTTAATGAATTGAATTTTGATGACTTGCATAATATTAACTTGGACTGTAGTGATTTAAACTGTCATATATCTATGGCAGAAATAAAAAAAACATTTAACAAAATTGAAAAATAATAAAACGCCTGGTCAGGATGGAATACCGACAGAATTTTGGAAACACGCCCCATAGGAGTTATATAATATGTTACATATTTTATTCAATAATGTTTTGGACAGGGGTTTATTTCCCATGGAATGGGCTTTAGGATTAATAACTCCAGTTTATAAGAAAGAGTCTAAAGGTGAACCGGGAAATTATCGTAGTATTATGCTATTAAATACTATTAGTAAATTGTACACAAGTATTTTGGCAGGTAGACTTTCGGTATGGATTGATAATTATTGTAAAATAGTTGAAGTACAGAGTGGCTTTCGGAAGGGAAGGGGTACCATGTATAATGTATTTATTCTGTCTACACTTATTGAAAAATATGTATTTCATTTAAAAAGCCGTTTATACTGTGCATTTATGGATTACGAAAAAGTTTTTGACCGTGTTCATCATTATTCCCTGTTCTATAAATTAGCCAAGGCTGTTATAAAAGGAAAACGCTTATCATCCCTATTTTCAATGTATACACATGTTCAAACTGCTGTCAAAACACCAATTGTGGTCACCGATTTTTTCAAATTAAACGTAGGTTTGCAACAAGGGTCAGTTATATCACCACTATTATTCTGTTTTTATGTTAACAATATTGAAAATGCACTTTCACAAGGGGTTGAGACTTGTATATTCCAATACTTTGAAACTAATGTATTTACTTTATGCAGACGATCTCGCGCTTTTTAGTAGTTCTCCTATTGGTTTACAGCGTTTGTTAGATAGATTGGCTGATTATTGTAGCAGATGGAGATTGAATGTAAATCTGAATAAATCTAAAATTATTGTATTTCGGAAGGGAGGGAGATTAAAACAAGTTGAGAAATGGTTTTGGAAAGGAGGAGAAATAGAAGTTGTCTCAAGATACAATTATCTCGGTGTAATTTTCTGTAGTTCGGGTATCTGGTACCAAGCACAAAAACATATTGCAGATCAGGCAAGGAAAGCTTTATATTCCCTACAAAGTATGCTTTATAAATTTGGGGGATTACAACCAAGTATTGCATTCAAAGTTTTTGATTGTAAAATTCTCCCAGTTCTTTTGTAGGCAGCGCAATTTGGGGAGTCCATAAATGTAATGATATTGAAAAAAATCACCATAAATTTTGTAAATTTATTCTGGGGGTAAATTTGAAAGCCACAAATTGTGCTGTCAGGGGTGAACTGGGTAGACACCAAATACATACATTTATTAACATTGAAAATAATTCGTTTTTGGTTGAAATGTATAAAAGTAGACTCCCCAGAAACTGTTAGAGATTGTTATCAATACCAGTATACTCGGGCAAACCAGGGGTTAAATTGCTGGGCACTGTATGTCTTAGGCTAAAATTTATTCCACATTTTTATTTTTCTCCAGCAGCAGAATGGAAATTTATTTCGTTAATTAATTCAATTAATTCAATTAATTCAATTAATTCAACTACATTATACAGCGTCCGGATTACTTTCGGAAATTCCGTCACGTTTCGGAAAGTTTTAATTTTCACAACTTTTGAATATTTATTCATACTTTTAGGTTAGTGAGGAGGTTATAATAATTTTTCATTTCACTTTAATTCTGTTTTTGCACCCATCAGCCCCTTTAAAAAGTCATTTCTGGCTATTGTAATGGCCACTATTTTTTTAATGGCCAGAATATCAACCAGAACTTTTTTAATGGTCAAAATATTGACCAGTATTTTCAAACTGGTAGTTATAATCACCACTATTTTTACACTGGTCAGAATAATAGTTATGTTTTATTTAATGATGGAGTGGGTGACAATCTATTTTTAATGGGTATTATAATGATCTTTTTATTTTTCATTACATGAATAAAATGGTAATTTTTTTTTTCATGTCACAGATATACCCGGTAATGGCACATGGGGATTGACAGCTCTCCTCTTTTTCCTCCCTCGCTTCAGTTTGCTTCAATTTTAAGCCAGTACAATTGTAGGTAAACATAAAATACAAGATTTTGAAAAATTTGAAATATGGAATTATATATCTTGAAAAAATATGAAGTTTTGGGTTAATTTGTTTTTAAAATCACAACAAATCATGCACTTGATACTGTTGACTTAGTAATATATAGTGTAATGCAAGCAAATAGAGGGCGCTGCAAAGTGAAACAAGTCTCAAACTTCGGCTGCAACTTCTCCAGTTATTTTTCTTTAAGAGAGGACGATATCATTTAATCATCCAGTGCATTGCAACTATAAAGTATCAGTGAGTACGCACGTGAATTTTTGCAAAATGGGCATCAGTATACAACAATATAGAAGTAAAATTGGTTGTTTCCAGCAACCCAAGCCGAAAGGAAGAACCGGCCATATTGGTTATTCATTAAGTGACATACCAACTGTTGTTAGATTCTTTTGACTAATGTTTTCTTGTAATGTGCGGTGACGTGGAATCCAACCCCGGTCCTAAACAATCAACATTGACAGAGGATGGTATGATCTCAACGGAAAGTCCACAATCTATGAAATTACGGAATGGAAATAAAACCAGTGGTGCTAATATAGATGACACGAGGGCACCATTTGAACAAATGTTAAAGGAGATGAAACAACTAAATGGTAAAATGGATAATCTCGCTAGTAACCTAAATACGAAAATTAATAATCTCAATGGTGAAGTTCAGAAACTAAGAAGTGAAGCTAAAGTAACTAATGACAAAATGAAGAGTCTCGAGTCAGAAAATAAACAGTTAAATGAGAAAATCGACCGATTGGAAAATAAGCTAGACTCGCAACAGGGCCAACTAAAACGCGACAACTTAATATTCCAGGGCATCAAGCAAGACGTAAATGAGACATGGGATGATTCTGAAGAAAAAGTTAAACATTTTATTAAGGATAAATTAAACATAGCAGACAACATAGAATTCGAAAGAGTCCACCGAATGACCGGGTCACGCGTTAAACCTCAACCCATTATCGCCAAATTCAGTCATTTTAAAGACCGCTCAAACGTGTTAAAGAATGCGAGAATAAATAGAAGTTCGTTGGATGCTGGTATGCGTGTCGGTGAAGATTTCTCAGATTTGGTGAGAGAAAAGAGACGCAAGTTATGGCCGAGTATGCAGAACGCACTGGAAGAAGGTAAGCGCGCAACAATGAGATACGATAAGTTGATTATCGAGGGTGAAGTTTATATCTACGACCTTAAAACTCAGACCGTGGTTACAAATGGATAAAGGTTCGGCCAGGGCTTACGCAACGATATCAAACTGCAGCAGAACTCTAAAAATACTATATTTGATACGAACTATACAACTACTAACAATCTTAATGAATCGTGTGATCATAATGTTATTAATTGTATATGCTGGAATGTCAATAATGCTCGATCTAAATGGTCAAACCCTGATTTTCTTTCTTATCTAAAGAAATTTTATGTGATTTGTCTCAAAGACATGGGCCACTATAAATGACACATTTTCCCTTGATGGGTATAAATCCTTATGTAGTATTCGACCCAAGCATTGTTACCTTGGCAGGTACTCTGGTGGAATTCTATTGTTATGCAAAACGCA